AAAAGTAGTAAAAACTTTAATTCAGGATAGATTTAATCAGTCTCTTCAGTACACAGAATTGCACTGATCCAAGAAAATGAACGGCATGTAGCCCGGAAGTACTCCATCCCAGTGTCCCGCACCACGGTACATGGCAGGAAAACCCTGTGACCACAACGGCCAAATTCATATGATACTGCCACCTACTGGTGACAAGGTGTTGTAGCACGTCTCATAGCTCAACAGAGATCTCCTGCTGAAGCCACCAGTCTGGTTCAAATGGTCCTTAGGACCTGAATGGAGCGAGGAGGCCGACGTCAGCACAGGGCGCCGTGTCACAGGTCCGCTAACCGCCGGCACGCTGCCTCCCTTTCACACGTCCTCCTCGGCTCCTGCAGTCAGGTGCTTCTCGAAGTCCTCCTCGCTGATCTTCCCCTTCTTCAGCCGCTTCAGTAGCCGTGTGTCGTTCAGCAACTCGTTCATGTCCGCCTCATCGACGTCAGAGTCCTGCGGCGAAACAGCAGTGTTAGCTGGGTGGCGGGCGTGGGCCAACAGGTAACGCCGAGGTGTAGGAGCTAGATCGGGGTGGGGAACCTGTTCCATGGAGGGCCGGTGCGGGTTTTTGGGATGACCTCTCAATCAGCCAATAATAAAACAGTGGTTCTCCACTCCAGTCCAGGGGACTCGCTACTATTGGCTGATTGAGAGGCCATCCCAAAAACCCACACCCTGAGCTACATGAAGGTCTAACAGTACCCGAGTTCAACGAGTAGGTTTAATTACAGGCCACAGTGCCCTGAATGCCCAGCCGCCTGTGTTTTATACACATCGCTTTGGCCGTGCATGAAAGCAAGGCTGAGGATAGAGAAGAAAGGAGTACCTCATCCTGTTTCCTTTTCGCTGCCATCTTTCTCTTTCGGTCTTTCTTGGACTTCTGCTTCGACCAGGCCTTGTTCCTCACAAAGCTCTTCCTGGGGGGCGCAGGTCTCGTCGCCTCCCTGTCCCTCTGCTCCGCCAGCTGTTTCTGCCTCTGCTTCTCCCGATTCTTGTCTTTGTAGCGGATGGCGTCAGTGTCCACGGCCTCCTCCACGAAGCTAGGGAATGTCTTCCCTTTCAACTCGGGCATCCGGGGCATCCGGAGCAGAGCGAAGCCCCGAGCAAGGGCAGCGAAGTCCAGATCTACCCCAGAAAAGGGCAGGGAATGACAGGTTAGAGCACTGCCCCGTTTCAATGTGTATCTCACTCATACAGACTTCACAGCGAATCCCTTTAGAACATGATAAATTTCATCATGAATGTATAATTATGGCAACATATACAGTGTCCCATTGTGACATAGGCTGACCTTTGACCCGGAAGATGAGGCTGCACTCGTGCTTGGCGTAAGCCTGGATGTGGGAGACGAAGGCACGCATGCCGCGCTCGTACACGGCCCGGTCGCTAAGGGCCGCAGCCTTCAGCTTGGGCAGCACGTCCACTACATCCTTCACTGGAGACATCTTCTGCAGAGGGCACTGGAGGGCAGGGGGGACACAGTTAGCCTGTCAGACTTCTTTTAGTCTTGGGGAGGACCCTTCAGTTACCAAGCTGTTTCTCCCGCATTTCATTCCTTCGTTAAAACACGACAGGCCTTCACCGGCAAAGTAGGCCATCTTAGACTTACCCTAGTTTCATGTTCAAAATTAATCCCACAGGGCTGCTACGTAGCTCTGCAAACCGAAATGGTTGCATGCTCCAAAGGCAGTGCTACTTCCCTGCACATGACTTAAGCAAATGTGACAAAATAGGCACCTTCTGGTTGATGGACAGAAAGTTGACATAAGACTCTTCCATGGGAAGGAGGAAAACCAGGGCGCTGCCTTGGTGGCCGATGCGTGCTGTGCGGCCGCACCGGTGAACGAAGGCACTAGGGAGAATGGAATCGTGTCAGGGCCGGCCCTCATCGACAGGCTGTGCTTCGATTGGGTGTTCCTCCCATGGGTGGGTGGTGCCTGTTATGCGACGACCAATACCTAGCGTTGCTGGGCGGGTCATACTGCAGCACCCAGTTGACCTCTGGGATGTCAATGCCACGTGCCATAACGTCCGTGCAGACGAGGATGCCACTGGAAAACAGCACAGACAACCTACACATTTCCCAAATGAATACACTGGAAGGTTAGTATGGCACTGAGGGAGACACTGGCATCAAGGTCATTCTGCAAGGACTGAAATGAAAGGAACGGAAGAAAAATTGAGGAGTTCAAATTTCTATAAATATCTTGTGAAAATGCATGGCTGTCCATAGCAGAAGTGCAAAATCCATGTGTAGCATTTGGGATAAAGAGCAGAGCTTCTGACTCTTTCACCCAACAGAACATCCTCACCTCTTCAACTTTCGAAACTCCGAGAAGATCTTGTTGCGCTTGTGCTTCATCTTGCCATGGATGCAGTGGACCGGAACGTTCTTGACCAGCAGCTCCAGGGCCCTGCCGAAGTACTCCACGCAGGCACAGGTGCTGCGGGGACAGGAAGCACGTGGTTAACGGCACCGTGCCAGGATCAGCGCCGGGTCGGTGAGCCGGCGGGCACCTGCCTGAAGAACACCAGCTGCTTCTCATGCTTGTGCTGCCTGAGGAAGGCGACCATGGTGTTAAACTTCTCCTCTGCCCGGCACACCTAGAACAGAGAGCAGGAAATGTGATGCGGCGACACAACATGCCGGGAGAGAAGCCAGCTTGAAACCCACAAATTAATGGCATCGTAAACAGAATGACCTTTGACCTAACAGTAGAGGGGAAGGTGATTCTCCCTCAATGTGCTGTGACAGATTTTCACTGGTGGTTCTGGATTATCTCAGTACCATAACTGGTTTCTTGAGTGTGCTGGATGTTCTTATGGGGGTTTTTGCTGGGTCCAGTTTAGGCGCTGGGACCTTCATCTTCCAAAATGCCATTTCACCCCCATTCCAAGAAGAGTTATCACCCGAACGACGGCAGAGGATAACATCGCGGTTTACCATATAGTAGTTGCAGAGCCGGGCTGGGGTCTTCTGGACGCTGCTGGCCGCCACCCCTTTCTCCTTGACGGTGATCCGCACTGGGTTGCGCAGACCGGCCCTGACCAGCTTCTCCAGCTCCTGGGTCTGTGTGGCCGAGAACAGACCTGTGCGACGCTGCTTGGGCAGGAATCCCAGGATGGTGTTCAGACTGGAGACACGGAGAGCCGTTTCAGTTTGTTATCAGTGTGCAATGTTTCATAAGTCCTGGTGTACATCATGCATACTGTTTTTTTAGTTCCTGCCAAGAATAATTAAAATATACACAATAATACAAATGAGTTATTTGCCAAAAGCAATTTAAGACTACAGGGGATAAAAAATTCTAAAATTACATAATGCAAAAAAGAGAGACAGATTCCAATGGGCTTCAGACACCTTGCTTCAAACCCCATGTCCAACAGTCGATCTGCCTCATCCAGGACTAGGACTTCTAGAGACTTCACACTGTTCACCATATCCAGCCCATCTGCCTTCCTCCGGAACATGTCCTCTATCCGGCCTGGGGTCCCGATAACAATGTTGGCCCTGTGGTTTACATTTATATATTTAACAGGCACCTTAATCCAAAGCGACCAAGAATGGAGTGTCAGCCAGCCACTGAGTCCTAACCAGCTGAACCAGACACTGCCCTGAAGTGAAAGTGCATTGGCCAGGAAATGGACCAGGGGCTCCCATGTGGCAAGCAAGAATTCTACCATTGTACCACTAATGTGCCAGTTGTCAAGGACAGGTCATGTACAGTCTCATAAGTATGGCAACCCACAATTCAGGTAAATCACAAAGAAATCCTTTAAAAATTAGCCCACCTACAGAAACAAGCTGAAGGTTTGCAAGAAACCATAATAGTGCAGAAAAAGAACAGCAAAATAGTTACCCATGGGTCTTCAGCTTCTCCACATCCTCAGCTGGGTTGCTCCCTCCAATCAGAAGTATTTGACTGTCATAAAAGGGATCGTTTAAGGTGCGAGAACCACTAAAAAGCACAAAAAAGTAGACAAAGTAACCAACCTGAACTGAGGGAAGCGCCTGAGGAACCCGCCCACCACCTCGCTGATCTGAATGGCCAGCTCTCGCGTGGGAGTGACTATCAACGCACCCACCTGGAATCGCAGCATCTGGTCATTCCGATGGCTCTCAGCCACACGCAACCCAGCTTAAGCTTCTCATAGAAAGAAACGCTACTTTGCCCGTAACGCACCTGCATTTTCTTTAGCTTCTGTTCGCGCTTCAAAAGGATCTCTAGTACGGGAATAACAAAAGCCAGCGTCTTTCCGCTGCCAGTCACCTGTATTCAATATTAAGACAAGTGTGTAACTATAAACAATCACACGACGTAAGCTACTTACGTAGAATAAGCTACAGAAAAGTCATTTATAACTTACCGCTTCGGCCGCCACATCTTTATTATTCATAAACAGGGGGATGCACGCAGACTGAAAGACACATTATGTATACTTTAATTTATAAGACTCAAACAGAGTGCTGAATAAGCTGGGCCATGCGTTGTATCAGCGGTCAATACGTATCGGTTTGCCTAGTGATACCTGAACAGGAGTCATATGTGTGAAGTTCAGCTCCGCCAGAGTCTGCAAAATGCCGTCATTCAGTTTCACCGGTAAACCATCCCATTTTCCCTCCGTTACAGTCTCCATTGCTTTCTGGACGTACGTGAAACAGGAGCGACTCTACAAATACATACACGTGTTCAAGACTTCCGGTACACCCAGAATTGTCGTCCGAGTGGAAACGTGGGACGGGCGAGAGGAGGGGTGTGTGTTTTCCAAATACAGAACAAATTTTTTCAAGAGCCAATCTAACATTTTAATCCCGTTTTGAAAAAGTTTTACCCCCTTGTGCAACGTTTGTTTCTTTCCAAATTACAACTAATGTACGCTTGTTAACGTTTTAATTTTTCATTAATCTACAATATGAACTGCACATAATTGAACTATGCTTCACACAATCAATAAAAAGACAAAACTTTAAGAATGGTGTGTTTTTATTTATTAAACCTGGATCATATTCAACACCCATCAGCATCTGAACTCTGCCACAGTTCAATCATGATGACGTTTTGCACTGCAATCCTCATAGGAGCCACAATCCCATCCACAGCCTACTGAAATTTGTAAACCAAAGAAAGAAAGGCCATTGACCGCAAATATCTGTTCCAAAAAAGAAATTAAATATACAAAATTGTATCTCTGATTTGCTGAATGATCCAAAAAAAAAAAAAAAAAGGTACAAGTAAGTATTTTACACCAGTCACTACCATAATTCACTCCCTTAACTTACTGTAACCTCAACATCAAATTTAAATCTCCTGTTTCACGTACATAAACAATGCAATGTGTGCCTTGGAAATGTTGTGGGAGGGATAAATCCTAAAGCCATTTGCTGGACAGACAGCTACCAGAAACATCCATATTAACTTAATATCCATTTAAACAGTTCATACGGAAGAAATACATCACATCTTCATTTGCTTCACCTTTGCTGCTGTACGGCTCCTGTGTTTAAAATGGACAGGGTAGAAAACATCTGACACTTGGACAAGTTCTGGCTTTTATACTAAGACAGTAACAGTTAGGAAGTTGAGTTCACCAAGATATACAAGCCTGAATCTGCCCCCCCCAGCTGAACGTATGCTGACTGTCATCCCCGGGAGGCTCCAGTGTAACTGCGACATAGTTTACACATGATGCTTAATAACATGAACTAAAGCGAAACTGCCCATTTCACACTGGTTACTGCAGAAAATAAAATCCCAGAATAAAATCAAAGTGATTACAATCATCCTTTATATTCTATAGATCACAGCTCTGAAAACTTCAGAGTTGACAACTCCCAGAAGTGTGCGTGTGGAATCCAAAACAAAACACCATACTACAACAGTAAAATTAAAAAAAAAATTTAAAAAAAAAGCTATAATCAATCCATTCATCTTCCAATCCCATATCTGGGACAGGATAGTGGGGAAAAGCTATAATGAAGATCATAACTAGGGGGGTGGGGGGGCACATTTATGTAGACCTGGTCTCCTGACATCCAATCCAATGCTGAAGCCGACAGTGTGAGCAGACTTTTGGTACTTCAAATGGTGGACCGCACAGGGCCTATCCTACACCACTCTCCGCACTTCGAAGAACCGCTTAAGGTAGTATATCTGTCCGAGCGTCATGGCAACAAGGACAAGCGCCTCGAAGAACGACCACAGAACCACCCTGCTGTTGGTGTTGTCATTGACTGGAGGGAAGGAGAAGCAGAGTGTCAAACATCAACAACAAAAACAGACGTTATCAACCTCACAGGACAGTTAGTGCCTTTAATCCGGAAAACACATCCTACGCCGGACAGCTTCCCAGTACTTACTTGCTCTGTGTATTCGCTCCCGGACCTCCATGTACTCCTGTTCGTGTTTGACCGCCGTCATGGCAACTGCCAGCTCATTGATCATCTCCTCCAGCTTGTTCTGGTGTGCTGGTGACACAGAGGAGAAGGGAGATCCCAGTGAGGACTGAAGACCATTCATCCCCCAGCACTGAGCAAAAATGAGCTGTGTGCAGTTATGTCCCAAAGTCTGTTAACCTCAACTCCCCATTTAATTGCAGATAAATGACAAATCCTGCGAAATAGTTTGAAACGAGCGACACAAAATGGCTTGAAGCAAAGATGAGAGCAACAATATTTATGTTCATGGCAAAATTCTACATAAGACCCAACACTTTAACATGCACCAGTATTATGTCAAAAAGCACATTCATACAAGTGCATACAAATCTCACAGGTGTCGGTAACAGCTCTGCAGTGAAGGATTAGCCAAAAACTCGTCGAGCAGAAAAGACAATGGGGCAAAACAGCAGTTTGCAACAAAGCAAGGCGCCACCATTTACTTACATTACACCCACAAACAAGCAGTCAGAATAGGGCGCACCGAGTTCCAAACGATCAAGATTCATACATCCATATCTCATTAGTATAGCATCACAACTGAGCACTGTGACTTAAAATGTTACACTAATTTTCTTGAATTCACAGCAAAATGTTTTTTATTTTTTAACTCAAAGTGGAGGCGAGTGCATTCTGCACAGTAGACCAGGGGCACGCCCGCGAACACATATATACACCCAACCAGTGCTTCATGCTGTCTAGAACATACCATCCCAGCTTTCACCATCGCCTGAAAGGAGTGAATTTGAACAGAATGAAAGGATGGAGGGATTAAAGGAGAAAACACTGGCACTGGGTTCAGAAATTGGCTTGACAGGATGCACACATAAACACAACAAGCATAAAGACCAAAAACCTGGAAATACAAAAATCTCAACTTGCCAGCACACTATCTGAAAACAAATAGCATGTGATGCTTACAGACAGATTAAAAGGGCAAATCACATGGTCTGACCTGTGACTCTGTAACCCCGTCTCCCCAAGACTCCGACTCCACCCACTGACCTTCTGTCTCCATGTCCTGACCCTTGGGGGCCTCTCCAATATCAATGGTGAACATGACGATCTTGGGAGTCATGGTGGACATCTTATTGCTGAAGCAGAACTTGTATGTGCCATCCATGTGGGCTGCCACAGAGTACTTGCCACTCGACTCCCGGTCTCCTTTATAAATCTGTTTGCTATCAGGCCCTGTAATCTGAAATTTCAGACGATGGAAACATTAACCCATTATAAATAAATGGCTCATTTACATTCATGCCAACAGCTCACATCAATTTAAGAAGCCTGTCTTCTGAATTCTAGGGCAGTTTTCTGCAGGGATGCATGCTGCACAAGACCTATATTAAACCCTGCACTGGGAATTTTAGCCCAAAAAATCCCCTGCATTCAGCTCCAAACAGAGGAGCACCTCCATACAAAAGGCACCATAAAATAAGCCTTGCATGATTCATTATATCTTTATAATGAATGACAGAAAATACATAAGATTCAAGAAATGACAGCTAATATAACTTCAACTAACTGCTGCTCATTTAATGAGTTGAAACCCAACCATAGTTTGAAAATGTATGGGGCCATGTCAAGAGAGAGTTGACTCTAGTGCAGACCTAGAAATGGGAATGTATGTGATCCTGTATGAAGGCAGGATGACAAGATTACAGGACGACTATCAAGATCAGGTGAGCAAAACAAGGCTAGACAGACAACAAACGAGTCCAGACGCTTTTAAGGCACCTCATATTGTCGGGTACTCCTAAGATATATACATCCAGAAGTCCTTAGACCGGCCACACACATTCCGTTCGGATGTCACATTCAACAGGTCTACAGGTACTGGCCTGGAACCGGGCGGCGTATGGGTATTTGCGTTGTCCGCCAATCATGGTGATGGTGTGGCACTACTTTATTTCACAAAATTAGACTCCACCTCATTTTCCATATATTCAAGTCAGCAGCAGACCACCACACGAGCATCAGGTTAATAGCATTAGAATACCGGCGGTTATTGCGAAGATGCGAAAAAAGGAGACGAAATTCCATGTTGAGTAGCAATCACCAACTGCAAAAGCCTTGGAACAGCTGTCCCAGAACAGTGGCAAGTAATACGTCTACCATAATACGACAGGTGTGCAGAAGCACTCAGTTCATTTTAACGTATATAATACTTAATGAACCTTCATAACCAGAGTGTCCTCGTACTGCCGACTAGGTTTTAGAGAAATAATTTAGCGCCAATGCGAGGCCTTAGATCTAGTCTTCCGGGCCTCACCTCCACATCGATGTCCAGGAAGCCCCCCTCTGCAACTTCAAACATCAAGCCCATTTTGGTTCCCGAATTGACCCGTTCGAAGAAGCACTCCTCCGCATGAGCGTCTATACTGACGAAGTAGCCAGAGGCCGTGGCGGACAGAAAGCCCACAAGGACGAGGGACTCCGCCAGGGTGAACATCGTCGTCTCTGGAGCGGATGGCAGCTCGACCACCCTTATTTCCGTTGCGCGTTAGCGCGTAGAGTACAAAAAGGGAGCTATGGGGCGAAAGCGTAAGGGAAACAAAACCCTAAACGACACCGCTGTACAAAAGTGGAGTTTACGGTTCTCTGTGTTACAAGCAGGCAGTAAGAACGTACAGCTTGGCCACAACTGCCACGTAAAGTATTAAACGAGTCGCGACGAGGGACAAACTACACTGTCCACTCTTCTCCGATGGAGTGAATGTTCCGAATGCGGTGCACTGTCGCCACCTATTGTTCAGGAGGACGAACGCGGTAAACACGGTCCATCGCATAAATCACTATCAGTGTCACCAAACACTGAAATTTCATTCATGCATTGTGACTTTTGAAAAACACGAAACGGCAATTGTGTGTATTATAAGAGTTTGCAGGGCTTAACTTTTCTGAAACGCTCATCAATTCTGCCTGAAAGAACAACGAATCGCAAATTTTAGGAAGACTTTTAGCTCTAGAAAACTTGGGGGCGCGGGTGGTTGAGAGGGACAGTGCTACTGCAAAACATTTCACGCCGACATCTTCCTCCGACGAAACAATCTTGCATTCGCATGACACCGTCACGCTTAATTGTAGCCCTTTGCTGGCAATAATGTCTTCCCTTCAACTGACATACTGTTTGCTTTCAAATCGCGTGACAACGCGTCTAACCATATTATTATCCTTCTGAAGTACGCAACCGCAATACATCCCCAAGGTTTTAAAGTCCTACTGCCTGGGTTGTACTGCGCATGTCAAACATCCAAGTTCCGCTTCTGGCGCACGTTTGATGACGTAACACCATCGGCAGCCAGTACATTCTGTCGCGCAGAGGCCTGGGGACTTTTTTTTGTTTGTTTTTTTATGTTTTGAAAAAATATCTGCATCTCAGCTACGTCAGTGTTTGCCTTGACTGAGGCCATATGTTTATGAGGCATTGCGTTTGGTCTGCGGACGGCCGAGCGGTGTAGCCGGAGGCTGACTTTGGTATTTGGGTAGCACGCCAGCTGGACTCGGAGGCTAGAAGCCTTTGGGGAGGGGGGACAAATCAAAATAGTAAAGGCGAAAGATGACATCTCGAAGGTACGGTTCGACTGGAAACGACGTTGCCGAGGTCCACTTGGGCTGTCTGCACAGACAGACCTGAATGAGTTTTCGGCTCTCTTGATTTTTGGAGAAGAAAGGGGGCGTTGTTAGATTATAGTCTGTTAGAACCCTTTGCATCATAAGTTATCAACTTCCTCGCTGGTTAAAATTTGATAGCTGCTGGGGTTAGCGCTTAACTCTGCATATTTAATTTCTGCTCAGCTATTCTCGGTTATATAGAGATTTATATAACCCGTTAAACGTCAGTTAGCGAGGAGTTTCCAAATACCCGCCTGCGTCTTGCACTCATTGCTTTTTATTGCACAACATCTGGTTCCGCAGATGGCCGATCTTCAGCTAAAGCGTGTCAACGAGCAGTTCCTAATTAACTTACTAATGGGTTAAAACGAACTCGTTAGCTAAAACGGGATAGCAGTACTAACCCCCAGGTCGTTATTATTCAGGCTGATGTGTGACGTATTGGTTCCGTGATTTGACCTGTGAATCGATAACGCAGGTGGTTCCATCCGAACATCACCGGTGTGGAGGCGGAGAACCTTCTGCTAACCCGCGGAGTGGATGGCAGCTTCCTGGCGCGACCCAGTAAGAGCAACCCCGGAGACTTCACTTTATCTGTCAGGTGAGGTCTCTCCACAGCCGACTTTAGCAAAGTGCACATGGCAGATATGGGCAGCAGGTGGCACTGTGATTGAGGAACTGGACTTGCAGTCCTGATATTTATTTAGTATGTACCTAAATAAATATTAACCCGCATTACATCACTAAATGATCGATTTTTCATTTTTCAAAGATTACTCGAATACAATTAAATTTAGTAGCTGCCTTCATAATGACATAACATACAGAATGCAAATACATATTTACATGTAAATAAGTACTGGACAAAACAGCATTTAGTAGCTGCCTCTGTAATGACATAGTATTAACATTTATAAAGAATAGGAATATAGAATTCTTAGAGAAATATTTTAATAAAGAAATTGTACACATTTCATTGTAATGTAAGTATATCAATTGATAGTAACAGTAAGAGTAATAATGATGATTGTTAAAAAATAAAATGGTAGTAATGAATATAACAATGGACAGTAAGAAGTATTATTTTAGTGCCCATTTAAATGGCTGAAAGAGGTCTTTGAAACCTCGAGATTGAGGCTGATTTCAGATGAGCTGCAGCCTGCAGCTGCTTCCTCGGGTTTGTCTTGGTTAACAAAGGCGCAGTTTGAATAGTTACTGGAATTGCATCCTGCCTATGCTGGAAATGGAAGCTTGTTAACATTACTGTCAGCTTTGAGGTCGTCTTTCATGGTTGAGGTTACTTTCTGCATTGGGAGTAACTGTCTTATGTAGAAATTTCAGCATCACTGCCTTGATGGAAGGGTCAAGTCAAATCAAATCACCTTTATTGCTTCCTATTAGCAGTGCAGTACTTTTATATAAATTCAAATTGTACATAAAACAACTGTAGAACAGTATACATTTTACATATGCACAAAGGAAACTGTATAATACATGATACAATACAATATAAATTCAATACACCATAGAGCAGACAGACAGACTGTAGTTGTAACACAGTACAGTTTAGTACACCAGAGACATTCCCTAGTGCAGTGGGGAGTGGGGGTGGTGACCTGGAGGGTGCCTGATATCAGTTGGAGTTCAGCATCTTTGTGACTTGGTGGAAGAAACTGTTACAGAGCCTGCTGGTCTGACTCTTGATGCTGCGGTACCACCTGCCTGATGGCAGCAGGGTGAGCAGAGTGTGGCTGGGCTCCCTGATGGTCTTTGTGGCTTTCCTCCTGCACCGCCTGCTGTAGGTGGCCTGCAGGGGGCAGTAGCAGGGTGAGCAGAGTATGGCTGGGCTCCCTGATGATTTCCTCCAGCACTGCCTGGTGTAAGTGGTTTGCAGGGGTGGTAGTTCCCCTCGGATGACCTGTTCAGCAGAAGGCACCACCCTCTGCAGTGCTTTGTGGTTGAGGGCAGTGCAGCTTCTGTACCAGGCGGTGATGCATCTGATTAGGAGGCACTGAATAGCACATCTATAAAATGTCCTAAGGATGAGGGAGAACATTTCCTGGAGTATTTGCTTGCTGTCTTTTTGCCATAAGCGCCTTTGCTTAACTCTTCAGTTATCTTCAGGCTACTGCACTCCCCAGATTACGATGGTCCATGTTATGATATTTCGACTTCACGATGGGTATGATTGTTCAATGAATTATTTGATATATTCACACTTTATTATGAGAGAGGCTTTATATTAATGATTTTGCCCAACTCTAGGCTAATGTAGTTGTTCTAAGCATGTTTAAGGTAAGGTAGGCTAGGCTAGGCTATGATGTTTCTTAGGTTAAGTGTACTGTATTAAAATGCATTTTTGCCTTTCGATATTTTCACCTTACGATTTAGCAATGATTAGCAATGGTTTACCAGAACGTAACCCCATAGCAACCCAGGGACTGTCTGTACATTAATTTGTCAGTCTTTTGAACTCCCACAGTAAATTTCCTTCGTCTTGTGAATTTCAAGTGTTTGGCCTCTTTCTGGTACCCGTCCGAGGCCTCCGTCTTGCTGCCTGCTGAAAAGCTGGCTGACGGTGACATTTTCTTTAGTGTCACTACAGAATCATCACTCTTTGTGAATATATTAAAAGTTGCGCTGTTTTTGTGTCATCATAGTATGTGCTTAGTTGGATAACATGTATCGTCCCTGACTAATGAAAAATTCTCCAATATCTCCAAAAATCCATTACATGAGGAATGTGAAAAAATGCATTTCCTCAGAGACTGCTTTACAAAATATACCTAAAACACCATAAGGAGATGCCCTTAGTACCACAAAGAGAAACCATCGGCCTTCAGTGAAGGCTTAATGTTTGTGAATTATTGTCAGCGGAGCAAATGGTCAGTGTCAGCAAGATGCAGACTAATTTCTTATTATATTCACAATTAATGATGTTAATTAGCTACCAAATTTAAGTTGTTAAAATTTGTGCTGTAAAGTAATCAATACAAATTACCTTAATGAATACAGATGTTAACTAGTACAAACATAAATGATTGCTAAGTAGATGACTTCATAAAACATTTTTCATTAGTTAATTGGATGTCAAATGCTATCAGTAGACAGGAGAATGGATATTTTCCACCTACAGTAAAAAAAAGTCTTCAAAAAGCAGACATGCGTGTTTTTTATTGGACAATGACGTGTATTATTTGTTTTTCCTGTCAGCCCAAGGGTCAGAAGTATGAATTTCTTTGTTTCTTGATGCACCTCCTATCCTCAGACGTAATGGATCGGTCACCCATATCAAGATCCAGAACACTGGGGACTACTATGACCTTTATGGGGGGGAGAAGTTTGCCACACTGGCAGAGCTGGTCCAGTACTACATGGAGCACCACGGGCAGCTGAAGGAGAAGAACGGTGATGTCATCGAGCTGAAGTACCCGCTGAACTGCGCTGACCCCACGTCCGAGAGGTGCGGGCTAAACAGCCATGTCATCATGGTGGAAATCTGGCTCTGCTTCTCAATGAATTTTAGATCAGATCCCATTGTGAGCTAAAGACCTGAAGCTGAGGTTGGGGTCGGGCTGCACGAGTGTTAGGTGGAAACCCCAAACCTGACCATTCATGCCCTTCCAGATGGTTTCATGGTCACCTCTCGGGCCGTGAGGCAGAGAAGCTGCTGACGGAGAAGGGAAAGAATGGAAGCTTCCTGGTGCGGGAGAGCCAGAGCCACCCGGGCGACTTTGTGCTGTCCGTCCGCACTGGCGACGACAAGACGGACAGCAGCGACAGCAAGCCCAAGGTCACCCACGTCATGATTCGCTGCCAGGTACCTTCACTGGACCAATTGGTGAGGTGTGGGGGCAGGGATGCCTTAATGTGGCAGACTGATTGGTGAATGGCCCCGTCTGCTTTTAAGGGATTGGTGCCTTGGGTTGTGGACCAGCTATGTAAGAAGGTGGGACCTCAGGTTTGGTCTCAGTTTGCCAAGTGCCCTGTCTGTCCCGCAGCACGACATGAAATACGACGTCGGAGGCGGGGAGAAGTTTGACTCCCTCACGGACCTGGTGGAACATTACAAGAAGAACCCCATGGTGGAAACGCTGGGCACCGTTCTTCAGCTTAAACAGGTAGCCGAAAGCTGGGGTCTTAAACGACACTCACGGATACGCACTAATGACACACACACACATTCTCCAGCAAACATTACACAGATATGACAGATACGATTTACTGTTAACAGAAATACACAAATACACATATTAGTTTGCACTATTTAAAGTACGGTGTGCATGCCGCATAATTAGTCCTACAGACCATCCCTGCAGTGTCATATTGATGTTGGCCAATTGTGGGCAGTGGGTGGGATCTGAACAAGTCTGCCTCAGGGACCCTGCAGAGGTGGTGCACCGAAACGGTGATCACTGTGGTGATTACAGCTTAAACGATGTCTTACTGCTAAAATGAGAACGATTCCATAAATCTCGTCTGAGGTATATGACCTTAAGACCCAGGTGTCTTGGGAGGGGCCATTCATTGTTTGATATAAGCATTATTTTTAAGTTTAAGAACATGCTTTGTGTTCCACTAGCTGATATGTATTTTAAAGCCACTGAAGAGTAACTCTCCCCCCCCCCCCCCGTGTGTGTGTCTGTCTGTGTCGACCCTACCAAGCCCCTGAACACAACCCGCATCAACGCAGCAGAGATCGAGAGCCGCGTGAGGGAGCTCAGTAAGCTGGCAGAGGCCACTGATAAGGTGAAGCAGGGTTTCTGGGAGGAGTTTGAGGTAAGAACCCTGTTACCATTGATGATAGTATAAACCACCGATGATAAGGACACATTGTGAGGTTGATGTGCATCACTGTGGTGACTTACAGAGGTGGGTAGAGTAGCCAAAATCTGTACTCAAGTAAAATAATTGTTATTTAAATATAATAATTCAAGTAGGAGTAAAGGTGTCCAACAATCTCACTAGCTGAGTAAGTAAAATAAGTTTTTATTAAAAAAAAAACTACTTGAGTAGCAAAGTGCTTTGCGAAATCTGAATTTATTAACAAACTGTACAGGAATAGGACTGCCAAATCAACAGAACAGGCAAAGAACAAAATCAAAAATTAAAATATGGTCTCCCAATAAAACAATGAAATGTAAAATGTACAGATAAAAGACAATGTGTTATGGGAAGTGACTTCAGATACAGGAAAAGCACAGACAGCTCGTGTGGGAGGTTTCATTGGCCAGCAGCCCGTACTGTAGCGTGAATGTGGAAGACGGGGCTAGAAGCAGGAATATGGAGAGGAAAGCATAGTAAACGGGCAGGGAAAACTCATTAGCCATCAGCAACATCACAATGTCTGAAATTTAGATTAGATTAGATTAGATAGTACTTTATTAATCCCTCAGGAAGGTTCCTCCGGGAAATTTAGTAAATTTTAAGTGGTTCTTTGTTTAAATAAGTTTTATTAGTCATTTTTCTTTTAATCTCAGATCTTTGGACTAACATCTTTCAGAAGAAAAAAAAAATAAATATGTTGCCTAAATTTAGTAATACAGACACTCCTCTCAGTCCTCTGCTACTACGAAGAGGACTGTAAGTCCAAATTGTGTTCATTCTAGGGATGGCGAAAACTAAAAAATTTCTTGACCGACCACCGAGCCTCAGTAGCCGGTTGAAACCGGTTAACCGATTAGTTTAAAATATGGTATGCTATTTGAAATAACAGCCATTTCGAGCCGCGCCTGCAATTTCGCAACTCTGTCGCATCTCTCTGCCGCTCTGCCTCCCGCACACACACACACACACTGCCACTCACGTCACTTTTTTAAAATCCCCTACAGCGCGAAACATGAGTCCCGCAAACGCGGCGCCGAAGAGCTTGTTGTATGTAATCGTAGGACAAATGGCTCCTTAGTTTCAAATGGTTTGGGTACAAGGTGATCGCTTTGAAAATAAAGGCGTTTGTCTAGGTTAGAAGCTCATTTGAAACATTGCCACGGCTCATTTAAGAAAATGACAGCTCCGAAGAGACGCCGCTTTAGTTGAGGTAGAAATGGTCCCACACACTACTTTTCTTTGCACGCTTCATCCTGTCGTCTGCCCTGGCTCTAACCTCGAGTGTTTTAGCCTGTTGCCTTTACTTTTCGCAAACCTTGTGAGCGCGCGAACCCAAACGCTGTGACCTCGCGCCAAATGTTTTTATTGGTTTATTAAGTACAAACAGGCGAGTTATGAAAAATTGAGTGTGAGGGATAATTTGTTCACTTAACACAAAAAGATGAGGAATGAGATGGCTAACTGTAGTAGCGTATAGTCCACTGTCTATAATAGCCTAATTTAGATATCACTTTTTTTTTTAACCGACTACCGACAACTTTGACCGGTTAACGTTGATACGGTCAACCACCGGTCAAACGGTCATCGGTTAACATCCCTAGTTCATTCGGCTCCCGTTTCTTGTCCGCAACATGAATTTTTTTTTTCTGCGTGCCCGTTCTGCCTAGTACGACTGGCCACTACTCCCGCCGTGCAGCAGCGTAGCGTGCGTACTCCCAGCATCCTAGTTCTTTGTACTTGTGTATACCCTTAAAATGATGTTGAATAACGACTTACGAACATTTCAGGTTACGAACGGCCGTTCGGAACGTAACTCATTCGTAAGTAGAGGAGCGTCTGTACTTCATGTTCTTCAAAAGCGTCAATTAAAAGCTTTCCTTCTCATTTACTCGGCAGTATGGTAGAAGGAAGACGGTGCAGGCCGGATGAGGGTGCAGATGTAGAGCGAAAGCATCATTTGTGTGAAAGCACTTCACATTAAAAGTCAATGAAAATGCAGACTGCAGAAAATGCAGTATTAAAAGGAGATGCGATGCAAATACATCTTAAAAGAAAACATTCAGGTTCACCCAGTAATGTGAGGTTAGCTGCCGTTTAGCTTCTGAGTAGCCTAATCTGTCTTTGTCATCACTTTGACTTAAATCGTTTTGTTTAATTTACTTTCTACGATTCCTGTATGTCAGGATAATCATTGCTAAAGTGAAGATTAGACTCGTCACATAGCTGCATCATCTTACATAATGTGTTACACAATAACCATGTAAGATGATTTTTTTTTTGTAAGCTTAGTGCTGAATAATACTGGAAAAAGTTCCCATTGCGATATTTGAAGTTTTTGCATTATTTAGGAGAAATTAACTATATAGCCAAATAGAGCTAATCTACCAACAGTGTCTGTCAGATTAGTTGGTAGTTTTGCTGTGAGTTGTGCAGACACAAAGAAGTGGAATACAAAATATTTCCATACAGCAGAAGACTAATCTCTTTTCGTGAGCAGTTCTTGTTCGCTTTTGTCCTTTTTACTCTTTTGCTTAATTTCTCACCAACACACCACACGGTCTACGTTCGAGTCCAACAGAAAGGACGAAAATGATTATGATCCCCTCGAAAAACAGATGCAGCACTCATGCAAAAGCAGCGGAGGCAAATCATAAACTGATTTTTGAACATATACTAGATAATCTTGCGGTCCTTGCGATTTGATAATTGCATGTGCAGGAAATGCCGTGTCAATATTAACATGACACATCGTGTGGCGCCTCCTGCTGCAGTGGTGCACTGGTTATCGCTGTCACTGGCTCACTGCACACTGCAGCTTTGTGTGTGTGGGGTTTGCATCTTCACCCTGTGTGTGCAGAAATTTTTGGTGGATCCTCTGGGTTCCTTCCTTGAATCAGATGCCTGAATTGACCATGTGCACCCTGCAGTGGTGATTTGGGTCCTGCCTTGCACCAATCATGGTTTTTTTTTTTAAAGAATTTCTGTTTTGTCCAATATATGAAATAAATGCCCTACATGGTAAAAAAAAAAAAAAAAAACATTAACCACACACATCTGGAAGTGAAGTATTTTTTAAAAAAGTTTTATTAACTGAAAATAGTGACTGTGTTTTGTGTAGCATCATCTGAATTTGTGAGTAAAGTTTGCGATTCAGAATAACCTTATTGATTTGGTGGTAAATTAAATAAATTGGTCCTTACTATATAACATATCCCAAACTAAACCATGGGTTAACATTGTTTTCCATATCTGTGCTGAGTTAGTATTTGCTGTTAATTAAATTGAGTTATTCTTACTGTAGACTGAGTAGACTTCTTTGTTGGGCAGAATCTCGACATTCCCTCCCGTTAAAGATGAAAGCCGAACCGCATGACATTCATGCTTAGTTTGGATTATCTTTCATACTGTAATCCAGCAAAATTGATCTTGGGCGCAGTTTGTGCCGAAGACGGCTGCGGGTCGTGGTTTGAGCTGAAATGTTTTGGGGGGAAAACATGATGTTAATGGCATGGCTGAATGCCCCTGGTGAGACAGACTCATGTCAATGGTGTCATCAAAAGGCAAGAGATGCGGGAGAAAGGAGCGAGTAGCAAGATGGATGCAGGCAAATGTAACGGACTAAATGGAGTAAATCTGCTGCATTACTGCCCCTGCCCCCTCCCACAGACTCTTCAGCAGCAGGAATGCAAGCTTCTCTACAGCCGCAAGGAGGGACAGCGACCTGAGAACAAGAACAAGAACCGATACAAGAACATCCTTCCCTGTGAGCCTGCCCATTATGATGTCACATGATGTCGCATCTCCCTCATGCTTGCACGGTTCACTGACAGTTCAGCACTTTCATATGTAGCTAAGTTTGTACTTAATTGTGGTTCAGGAGTTCTCCAGGTATTCCTCAACAGGTGTTGGATTCCGGAGCCTTTTAATCACTCGTATAGCTGTTTGGATCGTCAGATCTCTTGTTCTCAGAAATGTTTTTTTGTATTTGCTGTGGTATCATCCAGAGTAGGACTTCATTAACCTACATAGAGAGAATTAGAGAAGCTGCCCTGTATGATCTCAGCCTCTGGCAGTAATTAATAACAGCCTGCCTCTCTCACACAGTTGACCACACCCGCGTGGTGCTCAACGATGGAGACTCAAACGAGCCTGGGTCAGACTACATCAACGCCAACATCATTATGGTAATAAGTGACATCGATGGGTCATGTGCACACATGCTACCTTGCAGTATCGAAGTATTCAAAGTGCTTTATTTCACCCTTTCATAACTTTCATTCAGATGATCCTGCTAATTTACTTCAGAGAACAGAGTATGAATTATAAGTCCCTGTTTATTGTATGCAAATAGAAGTGTTATGAGCAAAATTATCATCAGTGGGCCGCATCCTTCTCACTGCATTTGTAACAGACTACACCCAGTCACACCCCTGAGAATTCACACCCCTGTGAAGTCACACCTGAGAATTCTGTGTGAGGCCTTGTGGTGAATTAGATTTGTTTTTCCTCCCCACAGCCCGAACTGGAGTCAAAATGCAACAACACCAAAGTGAAAAAGAACTACATCGCCACACAGGGCTGCCTCCAGAACACCGTCAGTGATTTCTGGAGGATGGTTTTCCAGGAAAACTCTCGTGTCATTGTTATGACTACCAAGGAGGTGGAGCGAGGCAAGGTGCAGACTCCCTGCCCCAAGTACTTTAGTGCTATTAGTAAGGAATGTTTATGGAACAGGCAGATGGACTATTCCATGTTCTCTGCAAGAACATCTGGAAAGATGGGCTGTTTCTCAACATGCATACTTCACTGTATTGTCTTCTCCTGTACCGGTCTTACCTCGTCTTCTGCTGCCAAACACCAGTTCCAATATTAAGAACAGAAATACGGAGGATGGTGAACACCCCAAATGTTATTCTTGCCCCGCCCCAAATATCAAGGATTGCAGTTGCATCCTCACCAAACGAGACCAATCCCATGATTCATTGCACCCAAAGTACATTCTTGGGAGGCAAGATAGCAAGATTGGTCTTGCCAAGACCACAAGTACGATCTTTGCGTTCTTGGTACTGGGAAACACCCTTGCATTGACTGAGGAAATGATCTCTATACAGGGTGGTCCACATCAAAGCAGCCTGGGATTGTAACAATTGGAATTGACATGTGGGGCTACTTTTTTTGGCCACCCTGTATTTGGCAAATGCTTCTGTCCAAACTGATGAACAAATCAGGCAGATAGTACTTCACAAGCATACAACTGTCCCAGAGCCAGCGTAGCTACAGGTGCTGTTAAGCTGAGCTTCCAATGAGTGACCTGTAACGAGTACCAGGTAGTAAGGGCAACAAGACATACAAAGACTGCTTAAAACCTCACAGTTGTGATCAGACATACCATAGACTTCATTTAGAGCAGGGGTCTCAAACTCCAGTCCTGGGGGGCCGGAGCCCTGTGTAACTTAGCTCTTTCCCTGTTCCACCACAAATGATTCAGCTCAAGAGCTGTGTGGTAATTAGCACAAGGAGTTGAATCAGGTGTGTTAAATGTTAAATTTTGGGTGAACCAAAAACCGTGTAGG